CTTCCCCTCCCCGCAATAGACACCCTGTGAGGTAGGCGGGGCTGAGAGCTCTTTCCAGAATTGTCCTTGAGAGAACAGCTCTGACAGAACTTGACTTTCCCAAGGTCATCCAGCAGCTGCAATTGGAGGAGTGGGGAATCAAACCCAGTTCTCCCAGATTAGAGTCCACACACTTAACCACTACATCAAGTCCTTGTGCCAGCGGCAATGTTAGTCTGAGTCTAACCCACAGTCTCCTATCCAAACTATTATCTGCCTCCACTCTGAAACTGGTGCCTGAATTCAATGTCACAATTATTCCCCAACAACTAACTTAACATGGCAAATTGCAGACTTGAGACTCCCACAGCTCAGGGAAAACAGGATAAATGGCTTATATAATATTTCAAGCTTCTAAATTTCTCCTTCGTGTTTAACATGGGTGGAAAGTTAAACTCCAAGGTTTGGCAGTTATGGCAATAATCCCTTTTGATACAGCTGTCAGTTTAATTACCACACAGCAGCTAATCTGCATGTGACCAAAACGGTTCACATATTTCTAGAGATAAAGAATCACTCCTTATTCACGCTACTAAGTTACTATAGAATCTGAAATTGTGGTATCAGCCCCTCTTACAGAAAATGGCTTCAGCAACAGCAGAAAACAAAACTTTACTGGCATGTGTGAGGCTCCCTTCCACGCAGGTTTATTTATTTAAAATATTTATATGTTGCCTTTCAACTCAAATGGGGTTCTTTCTTTGGAGGGTGGCCATAAGGGAGCAAGGGGGGGAATTAAGAATAGAAATAGACTCTTTTTTTGACTTTACAGGGTAGTTTTTACCAGGGGTCATTTCCCGCAGGAGTGCACAGGAGCGGAGTTCTGGCAGTAAAGAGCCCGGTGGCGGGAACATGCAACAAGCCCCGCCCCCTGCTCCCAGCAGCCCCAGGCCATGAGGAGCAAGAAGCAGCCAAGTAAGTTGCAGAGCACCCCCCCGCCTGTGCCGAGGCACAGAGCCACTGCCCCCTATATTTGGAAAGCCTGAACACCAAGCTCTGACGTCACCGCATCCAGTCATAACAATCCCTGAACTCTGCAGTTGCCAGCTACTCTCACAAGTGTTTTAAATTGCAGTTTTTCGTGTTCTCAACAAGATATTATCTTGATTCTTTCACTGCAGTATTCCAGACACTTCACACTAGCTTACAGTGTTACTGAGTTCAGTTTCCCTTGCATATTTGAGTGCATGTTTCGTATAATTTACAAGCATATAATAGGGGAAAGTGGTGGATGTCTGTTGTATGATGGTATTGTAAAATAACTTCTGGTTTGCAGTATTACTTTTTATTTACCATTGACACAGCATGAGATAGAAATATGCACAAACTCATACTTATTTAAGAAGTTTTCACATACAGTAAACTTCAATCTTAATCTCCAGT